CAAGGTGCAACCATCAAAAAGAAGTCTAAACAAGATCAAGACTCAAGCTTCAAGAGAAGTCTCTAAGTCCAAGCAACCTCCAAGTAACATAGTATAGGACTTAGGATTATTTGAATGGGTAATTAATTCCTTACGTGAACGAAGCTCAAAGTATTTTTCAAATACATGCATTAAATCATCGTTTAACATTCAAATACATCCCTAGCATGAAAATATAGTTTTCAATGTTTATAAAATGTTTAAACAATATTTGAAACTGATTTGAATCAAGAGAAAACCATTTTAGGGTGAAATCCAACCTTTCATCAGGTTGGTAATCGATTACCAAACAATGGTAATCGATTATCCTTCATGGTAATCGATTACCCTCCAATGGTAATCGATTACCTACTGGGCAGAAGACAAAATAACGGCTATAAAATGGCTAGTTTGCGAAAATGAGTGTAAAAAAGGCCATAGGGGCCCTCTATAAATAGAGAATATTGTTCCCCTTGATGAGACACACTTCTTGATCATTATTACTCATTAATTCTCATTCTATTTGCATTATTATAATGACCCTAATTGGTAAATCTTAGTTAGAGATTTAATTTAAGGATTTAAATGCCATAATTAGATTCAGTGAGCGATTTCGAGTATTTGGACTGTAATCATGACTAGGTTATGAATAGTGCGTTCTGTCGGAGAATTCGCAGTCTTGTGAATTAACCGGTGGAGCTTAATTAAGCAAAATGATTTTAGAGACATAATTTGACAATTCTGACTCCATATATGAGTTCAAAACGAAAAATTTTATAGTTTGGCACTTTCCGTGAAAATCTTGTGAATAGTGTTTTTACCAGGTATTTAGTACTGCTGTTTAAGCAACCGGTAGAGTCCAGAAACAAATAATTGATGAAATAAGAATAAGAAAGTCCAATATATGCCAAGCAAGTCAATATAGGCCCAAGAAAATGACAAGTGTATAAGTCTTAAGTTCATAAATAAATAAAGTACAGTTAGTGGTTCACAGTGCATTTCGTCAAAAATGGTGCAGAAACCACACTATGAATTATGAGTATTGTTCCTTAGGAAATAAAAACTAATGTAAATGACTTTAGAAAAATAAAAAAAATATGTTCGTAGCTTTAAGTTAGTTCCGGGTCAGTTTAAGTAAAAATACGCGATAGAAAAACAAACGGGTAAAAGGTCACATGTGTTTAAAAACTTAAGTGAATCAAATGACACAAATCCAAATCAGTTTCTCTCTCTTCCTTGCTCCAAAAACCCGATCTGCACCTAAGAAAAGGGGGGGGGTTAGGGTTGATCTTTCTTCTTTGATTTCTCCACCTATAATCCTCCAAATCCAATTACCCACCATATGAAATTGCTTGTAAACCACCCAACGAAGCCATTCCACCCATCAATTTGAGCTGTTGTTGAGTGTGTGAAGAGTTATTCTCTCCCCCAAATTCGAGCTACTATTCATCAAAGGGGAGAAATGGAGTTTTTCATGGAGTTTTGCTTGGTGGATGTCCTCTAGGCTTTGGGTAGTTCATTAGAGGTAACAAAACTCTAACCCTATGATTTTAGTCTTGAGGTTTATGTTTTGAAAATTATGACTATGATTGAGTGGAAATAAAGTAGCTAAAATTGGAAATTTTATGAAGTATTATGGAGGTTTTAGGATATAGGCATGTTAACTAAGCTTTTGTATAAGAATAAAAATTGGAAAAAAATCCATGGAGTGGACCCTTTAGCATTCGGCCTTCATGGAGGGTGTAGGGGTTATTGTGCAAAAATTATATTAAGTATTGTGAAGTTGTAATGTGTTGGAAATGAGTGAAAATAGATGAGTTAGTAAGAATGCCTATTAAAAAGAAAACACTAAGGGTCATACCCCCTACATGTCGGCCTTGATGGGTTGAAAAGGACTTGATGTCTAAACTTAAATTTGAACCTTGTGGATACATGCATAGGTGTGTGCAAGTTGTAATGTAAGTGAAGAAAATGTATTGTAAAAGAGAATGATATTTGGAAATTACCCTTATAGGATTCGACCTATAGGGTATTTAGGGATATATTTTGTACATTTTATTTTAAATAAAATGTGTTGTAATAAATTGTATAAAAATGATGAGTTTTGAAGAAAAATAGCATGATTTATGTTGAAAATTCCTAAGGGAATAGTTGATTAAATTAAAGAACACCAACGGTTATAAAGAGGTCTAGACTTGTGTATTGGCATAGGATTGGCAAAAATGCAAAGAAATGAAAATAAGCGATAAAATGTATGCTTTGTGAAAGGATCATGGCATAGTATCATGGCAAAGGATCATGGCATAGCTCTATGTTTAAGGAGTCTTTTCTTACTTGAGTGCTCCACCATAGTTAGTGAACTGTGGTTGGATTGTATGACTGTTTTGATGCTTTGTATAGATGCATTCATATAGAGCTATTTGATAACATGATATGTTTTATTCTGATATGACTTCGATAATATGATTTCTGTAATAATCTCTGGCCATTGATTGTATAGTACCCTGATGTCCGCTTTGGGGTCCTCCCTCGGGACTAAAGGTGTATGCCTCTGATATGTCTGGTTCCGCTTTGGAGTCCTCCCTCGGGAACACGTGCGTTGATTTGCGCTTGGGGTCCTCCCTTGGGAATGACGGCGCACGCCTCTGTTATGACATGAATATATGTTTTGTTCTGTTATGATATCTGTTATATGTTGTATTCGTATACTCTGTATCTGACTTTCATGCAGGAGTGAGCCAGGGGTATGGAGAATTCTCTATAAACCTGGAGCTTATTGAGATTTGTAATCTCACCCCTCGTTGGGGCCATATTTTCAAGTGCCCAGATCCCCGGTGAGACCTCTCTAGTCAAGGACGCGACCCGTGGCTGAGGATTTTGGACGGATTGGATTTTGAGTAGCTGTAGGCTACTTCTATTTTGGAGTATAGTGCTTTCATTTAGTATTTCAGTATTTTGTGGATGATGATGTTAGATCCTTCATTTTGTATATGGCCTGTATATGTTTTGTACATGTCTGTCAGTTTGATGCATGTACATTTGAGTATTCAGGCACGTTATATGATGATGTAGTATTCAGATAGGTTTACGTTTTGATGGCATGCTGTTAGATATAGTGGCACGGAGACATGTTATGCATGCGCCCATGTATGGGTATTTGATTATATTTGGATACCTGGTATTTCTGAATTGATATGTTGTATAAACTGTTTATCAGGAAATGCTTCTGAGTGGGATTGGAAAATCCCCAGTTGTTCGATTTATAGAGGAAACTCTGCCCGATTTTTGTTTACGCCGAGTAAGAATTAAGTTAGAAAAAGAAAAAGTTAGCTCATATTTTCGTAAGTTAAGTCTTCCGCTGTTTCTGTTTATATCATTTGTATGTTAATTGAACTGGCTCGAGACGGGGATGTTACAATTATTCTTGTCTTCTTGATCATAAATTCTCTTTGAGCTTTATTCTTGTGAGAGTGTCAACAACCATTATTCTTCAACTTGTGTTATTTGTACTTTGAGAGTACTTAGCCATTGTTAAACACCTTCCTTTGATTTCTTGAATAGTTAGGGGAGTGAACCCTATACACTTGAGAGGTCACCAAATTCCTAAGAAAATTTGGAGTGAAAAATTGTAAGGCATCAAGAGCCCGAAGTCTTGAAAGGTTGTAGAGGTTTGTCAAGCACCCTCAAGCTTGATAGTTAGTGAAAAGAATTGATCGAGCGACTCCAGTCTGGACGTAGGTCACTGTGGTGGTGACTGAACTAGGATACATTTAGTTTGCAATTTCTCTAACCTTAATCTCTTTATTTAAGTATTAAAATTGCATTTTAGATTGTCTTTATATATTCGCTTGCTTACTTTGTTGATCACTACACTTGCTCTTACACTTAGATTTTTTCTTATTAAACCATTTATTGAAGAAATAGTCTTTAAAATATCAAAGGAGACACTTTCCGAAAAGATTTTGTAAAACTCAATTCACCCCCCTCTTGAGTATTGAAGCCACTCGTCCAACAGATTTTTACTTCCAAAACCGATCCAATCCAGACCGCGAACACCCCTACAATGAATAAGATGGTGGGTCCACAACATTGCAATGATTCAAGTTAAAATTATCTTATTTGCCTGTTGAGCAATCATTGATTCTATTTCCTTTGGTGAATAATTGAGCAATTATTTCTACTACACATTTACATTAAGGGTTTTATTAATCTCATGTTAAAGGAGATAAGTTATCTCATGTCATAGAGATAAATTTGTGGGCTCCACCATCTAAAAAATAAAAAGAAAAGAAAAAAAAAGAAAAAGGTGACACAGTTATCGAAGAGTGTGTAGCAGAGAAATTTATCACATATAACATAAGAGTAGTTTTTCCTTTACATTAATCTATCTTCTCATGAAGATAGATATGAAAAGACTCGAGTTATCTTCTAATGCACATTTACTTTAGTATACATTTCTTCTGCTGGACACTCTGATATGGTGAACTTTTTATTTGAAAATAATCGAAAAGAGAAGCACTTTAATCTACCTTTCCGAGGCATGGTCTATTTCACACTGATAAAATGCGCATGCCTTCCTGCTTCTATTTCACACTGATAACTTTCTCCTTCTCTCAATAATGAATATATATTTTTTGATACAGTCAATAATGAATATTAGATCGAGGAGGGACTTGACCAATTAATTTAGTCTAGATATTCTTCTAATCTTGACTTGATCATTCATCTTTGTTAGCAGTAGCGTGATACCATTTTTGAGCTCCTTATTAAGTGATTTATTTAATCCCACGGTATTTCATGAAAATATTCCAAATGGATGACATTGCTTATGTTACTTATGTAAATTTATTTAAAGAATATACTATAGATAACGTGCTTAGTTATGCGTTAATTTATATACAAATTTTATGACCAACGTATTATGCGTTTTTGCTTCTAATAACTTAATGAATTACATTACTGTAAATCCTTGCGCTTCACAGCATATCTGCAAATTGCAATAAACTAGGTATTTTTGTGGAAGAAGCAGAGCTTGCAGAATTTGGAGAACGCTTTTCTTGGGAACCAGATGGTAAGCCTTTTTTTTTTTTTTGAAAAAACAAAAAACAAAAAACACTTCCTTTCTTAATTATTTTGCAATTGAAGTTTGTTTAGAAAAAAATCACTCTATTTTAAGAGTAAGTTTTGGAAACTTATATTGCTTAATAAGTTTTACTAAAATACAAAATTTACAAATATTATAACTCTTGAATCGTGTGGTATTATTTTGATGATTATGAATTTTAACTTTAGATAAATTATACATTAATCTGTGCGTAATTTTATAATTTATATTTACTTATATTTTAAAAAATATATCATATGATTAAAATAAAAATGTTTGATGAAGTATTAACTAATTTTAATCTGTATGATATTTTCTAAACTTAATCTATATTTAATCCAATAATTGGATTGATAAAACTCAACAACCATTAAAAGTTATTAACTGATAATTATTTCTTGCGTTGGGAAGGTATTTTAACATTTAAGTCAAATGTTAAAATATAAAGTAAAAGGAAAATATTTAAAATTATTAAAACATATGTAAAATTTATTCAGATAAAATATAAAAATATATGCATAATTATTTTTAGAAAATAATTATTTAGATTTAATTTTTTTTTTTTTAAATCTAACCGGGATTGTGAGAGGTTTGAATAATTTGCATCTCATGGGTTTAAACCATAGTGTCAATCATTGTATAAAAAAAATATAAAAATTAAATTAAAAATAATGTGTCATTTTCTAAGAAATAATAACATAAAAAAAATAAACTACTCTAAAGACAATATATTTTTGACTTAATTTATATTGCGTTGGAAAGATAACTCTGGTCGACATCATTCTTTCAAATATTAATCCTGTTGAAGTGTGTTAGGCATACACTTTGCTTCCACATACTTTGTCGAGTATACGTAGAATATTGAATGTGGTATTGATCTACTAGTAATGTTTGATCCTTTCTTACAAGATGCATGCCGTTTAATATAAGTTCTATGTTAAATAATTTGAGCTTATTCTTACTAGTGAAATTTATATAAATCTTACTTAATAATAAAACATATTAAAAAAAAGCATCAAATACTGTGTTAATAACATTTTTTTTTAATTGTTTAGAAGATTCATGATCTTAAGGTCATCTTTTATTGACAAATATTTGATCTATCAAACTTGACTAATATAGTCTAGGTATATATTCAACCGTGACTTGATCATTCATCTTAATTGGCAATAGCGTGATACCTGTTTTGAGCTCCTAAAACGATTTATTTAGTCCCATGGTATTTAATGAAAATATTCAAGACACGATGGAAAAAATTGCTTGTTATTTATGTAACTTTTTATATAAAAAATACAATAACATCGTTAGTTATGCGTTAATTTATGTAAAATTTCGATGATCAACATATTATGCGTTTTTTTTTTTGGTTTATTTTTTCTGCAGTAACTGCAGATAAGTTATCTGCAGTAAGCTCAATACGACGTCATTTTGGGTAGAAATCATAGTGTTTTTGTAATTTTAGTTTATTTCAGGATTATTATAGACTTTATAATTATAATTTTTTTATTTTTCAATCTCAAAACGACGTCGTTTTGAGAGTAAATGCAGATAACTTATCTGCAGAAATAGTTTTCTGTTTTTTTTTTTTTTATCTAATAGCTGAATGAATTAAATTACTATTAATCTCTGTGCTGCAAGACATATCTACGTATTGCAATAAACTCGGTAATCTTGACGAGGAAACAGAGCTTGAAGAATCCGAGAACGCTTTTGTTGGGAACCAGATGGTAAGATATTTTATTTATTTATTTTAAAAAATCATTTCCATTCTTTAGGGCATGTTTGGTGTGATGTATAAGGCCTGATAGTATAAGCTTATACTATACATTAATGAATTTTCAGTTGTTTGGTGTAACCATTGTATAGTATAAGCTTATACAGCAGACCCCCTAATACATCAAAATGATGTATAACTTACTCAAGCCTAGAGAGGTGGGATTAAACCTGATAAGGAATTGATGTATTAGCCTAATCCCATCCCATTCTTCTCTTTCCCATCATAACCTTTTACCCTTAACCCCCCCTTCTTCCCCACCCCGCTGTAACCTCATTTCTTCTTTTTCCCCATTTCTTCTTCTTCTCAAATCACATCAGTGTAGAAAGTTGTAACAAAATTGAATTCTGATTTTTCAAATTGTTACAATAATAACAACGAAACCTTGATGCTAGTGCCAGCTTGGGAGGGAAACATTGTCCCCATTTTAACACATTGTGTTTGTATTGACGGAGATCCCAAAACTTGCCTCCCATTCTAATTTATGCATTTATCTTCTACAATCTGCAATCAAATCCAGAGACGCATTCATCGTAAGATCTATTCATGCTCGAATCATCAAATAGGGCTTTCGCATGGGTGTTTGCTTGATGAACAACCTCCTCAATTTCTATGCTAAAATTGGTTCCTTCTCTCATGTTCACCGCGTGTTCGGTGAAATGCCCCTTAAGACCTCATTATCTTGGAACACCATTTTCTCCGATTATGCTAAAGGGGCGACATGGAAGCTGCACACTGTGTGTTTGATGAAATTCCTCAACCTGATTCAGTCTCCCAATAATAATTTTTTTGTTAAAATATTAATTTTTATTTCTACAAAATTTATTTATTTTTTAGACATACTAAATTAATATCATATGACATATATAGAAGAATTATATAAAAAAATTATTAAAGGGTATCTTTGTCAAAAATATTTTTTTTTATCCTATCTAGTATTATACAGTGCATTACCAAACACTGGATAATATTATTTTATACAATACATTATCTTATACAATGTCATGCCAAACGTTGGATAGTATTAAAATCTAATCAGGGCTTATACTATCAGGCCTTATACTATCAGGTCTTATACTATTAGGGTTGGAAGTACAGTGTTACGTTGTTTATTGGTGTATAGAATAGGATAAGGGCTAATAGCATAAAGCCTGAATGTATAGAGTTTGATTAAGTTTTAATACTATCTTGCGTTTGACATGCTATTATATAAGATAATGTATTGTATAAGATTAGAGACAGAGATGTCTAGCCCAATGGGCTAGTAGATTTTTTTTTGGATCTAGGTGCCCTCTCCAAGGTATCTATGGATTAGATACCCTTGAGTCAAGCATATCATTGTGCAAGAAAGAACAATAAACGGCTTTGCTAAAGGGGTGTGTGTACAGTGACAACATAACAGTAAGAGAGAGTGTGTGTATCTATATTTTTTTATCTCTTATTTATAGAGTTTACATGTGGTCATTGAGTGTTGGACCTCCAGTGCTATTGTGAATGGCTCAAGCCCATATATTATCGTATTAGGATTGATATCTATGATTGGATATCTTTCCTTATTTGTATTTGATTAATATTTTGGATCGCTCCTTGTTGGGTTCATCAATGTATGGGCCTCGTATATGAGTCCATAACAGTAGTTAACATGTCAAAAAAAATTATTCGTAAACGCAGAATCCCAATTCAATTAAATAAAAAAAAAATTAGGGTTCCATGAAATGCAATGTCGCTATCCCCCTGTCTTTCCTGGAAAACTCATCACAAATTGAAGGAGGGGAAATTTTGAGAGAATCTTAATGTGACGAAATAGTATTGCATTGGCCAGGTGACTGAACAAGAGATCGAATTATTGTTGAGAGAGAAAGAACATCAAGAAAACATAAGAAGTCTTTCTTTGAAACTTCTTTTGCATCTTATTTGAGTGGAATCAACCACCTACCCACTACTCTCATAGACTACAAAGAAGAAAAGTAGATACAATTATCACGGATACTTTTTATTTTTGTTTTGGTAGATTTTCTCTATAGCGTTTCTTGCCAGATTCCCCTTGTAAGCCAAATTAAAAGAATAATTTGCTGACCCTGCCCAGCTTCTTATTCGAAAATAAAGTGACTTTATATTATTAGAATATGCCCTACTTGATCAGCACTCAATCAAAAGTTAATCTTCTTAATTAATAACAATTAAGTATCTCTGTGGTGTTGTATTTATTGGGGTAATCTTTCAAATGCGCTCTTAACAAGAAACTTCCGACTTAATAATATTCCAAATACATGGGGTCCATGTCAAGTTCATCCCTACTTGTATAAATATGCATGTTTTACTCCCAGCAGGTTGAATGAAAAATTAAGTTGATGATCATCATCACCAAGAATTTTTAGATTTTCCCATAAAGAGAATATAGCACGAGATCGGTATACCTTACACAAGAGTCATGTCCGACTCTACTACAGGTAACATGCTAAGCCCGGGAGTGAGTTTAACCTGCATTAAATCTTTATAAAATAATTTCTATTTGTAGTTGCGTCAATGATTTCAAAAAATGGAATCTTTATAAAATTCACTTTAAGATAAAAAGTACTAAAAAGAGTACCAAATAATGGGTAGATATATCATTTATTTTTCTTTTAGAAAACTGATCATGCAGTACGTTAAGGTCTACATCATCTTTTATCTCTTGACAAATAGCGTGATATCATTTTTTGACTCGATCATTCATCTCTATTAGCAATAGCGTGATACCTTTGAGCTCCTTAAGTGACTTATAAAATCCATTCTATTTCATGAAAATACTATGTGCTTAATTAGTTATGCTTTGATTTATATAAAGACTTGATGACCAACACTATGTGTTTTTACTTCGGATAGCTGAAGCCTGAATGAATTACATTACTGTTAATCTTTGCGCTGCAAGACATATCTACAGATTGCAATAAACTAGGCATTCTTGTGGAAGAAGCAGAGCTTGCAGAATCTCAACAACGCTTTTCTAGGGAACCGGGATGGAAGTTTTTTTTTTTCCCAAAAAAAAAAAAACCATTTCAATCCTTATACAAAATCTTACGATTGAAGTTTTTCTGAATGATAATCTACATAAGCTTTTGTATAAGGATTGAAATGGGTGATGTTTAGAGATATGAAAAAGAATTTGAATACCTCTCTGGAGAGAAGTTTGAGTGAGACTTCTTTAGGTAAGTTTGATATTATCATCATTGTATGTGATGTTTGATTGTACTTCTAGTGAAAGACTAGGGAAGTTTGATTGTTGTAATCCATTATTCTTATAGTGGAAGTTTGATTCTGGACTAGTGTCCCGTGGGTTTTTACTTCTTCACAATAGAGAAGGTTTTCCCTCGTTAAACAAATTGTCTGTATTCTTCTCCATCTCTTTCCTGTTGCATTTTACTGTTTCGCCTCCCGCAATTGACTCCGACTTCTCACAACATTTATTACGTTGGATGAAATGTGATAATTACATGAGATGTGCAGGAACATGGAAAAGGGATATGTATATGGCAGCCACATCAGGGGATTGGGTTGAGGCTACGAGGTATGATAAAAAAACATCCAAACTGGGAATGTTGTCTTTTGAGTGGTGGTGGAGACACAGCCCTTCATGTTGCAGTGAGCATGGAACAATTCACTTTTGTAGCAAAGTTGGTGGAACGTATGAGCTTGCATGATTTGGAAATTCGCAACGCAGATGGGAATACAGCCTTCTGTATGGCTGCTATTTCAGGAAACGTGAAAATTGCTACAATTCTATTTCACAAGAACCCAACATTGGTATGGATTAGAGGCCATAAAGACATGTTACCAATTCAATTGGCATCTTCTGCTGGTCACTCTCATATGGTGAAATTTTTATTTGAAAAGCCTCCGCAAGACATGCACTTTCATCTACCCTTCCAAGACGTAGTCATGCTCTTTTTCTTTACCATTACAAACAACATTTTCAGTAAGTTGGACCCAGCTTGCGCGGTCTCCCGCGCGCGCGCGCACACACACATATATATATATATATATATATATATATAAGATTTAATGTCTCTTATATTGTATGAAATAATTTTATCTCCTACACACATAAAGTATGTAAGACCCATATTTTCTTGTATTTTTTTTATTCTCTTCACATGACACCAGATAGGCTCCACACACTTTTATGTATATACGTAAAAAAAATATATGTTAATCATAATTTAAAATTCTTCCACAGTTCTCTAAGGCTTTGCTGTAACATAAGTATGTTTGGAACATAAAATTTAGAATAAAGTCTCATTTGGGTTCCTAACAAAAAACACAATCTTCACTTTAGTTCCTTACAAAAAAAATAAAAATAATCGTCTGATCCCTATGAAATTCAAAGTGGACTCATTTGAGTCCTTTAGAGAGACTAATGTGAGTCTTTTTGAATTTGTGAGGGATTACGATTTCAACTAAATGAGTCCACTTTAAATTTCTTAGAGACTTCATGACTAATTTTTTTTTTATAAGGGACTAAAGTGGGGATTAGGGACCCAAAAAAAGATTTACTCTAAAATTTATGAGCAGATTTGATTTATAAATACTTTTTTGGAAATTATTAAATTGGAATTGATTTAATTGATTACTATTAGTTTCTAATATAATGGAATTCCAAATATAAAACCAATTCAATTAAAACCAAATGATATTAATTCTATCTTTATTTTTTTATTTTTGGTAGATGGATGGGGCATTCTATTTTTGTAAATTAAAAAAATACATAATGTTACTTTTGTATTTAAAACTATTTATAAGTGAATTTCAATTTTCTTTCTTCTTTTTTTTTTTTTCAGCACGAGTTTTCTTTCTTCTTTTGTTTATTTTGAAATTTAAACTATGGTAAATTGGTAATGACTTATTCGTTGTTTTCAATTATTTGTTGGTGATCACAGCTGTGGCATGGAATTTGTTGGATAGATATCCGCAACTCGCTAGCACGGGAAACGAAGAGGGGCTAACACCCTTGCAACTGCTTGCTCAAATACGTTAGCTCTCTGATCTTATAGCCTATTTGGCATTTTTTTTTTTAAATTAAAAGCTATTTTTATGATAAAATTAAAGAAAGAATTTTAAAAATAAAATTACAAGTTGTTTGATCATTATTTTAATTTTTTATCTTAAAAGTTACTTAAAATCTGTTTATTTAAAAAAAAGCACATTTTTTAAAAAAGTTAATACAACTTAAAAAAAGCTCATCAGCTTTTGACTTTTGGTTTTTTTTCATTATAAAAAAAAAAAAACTATTTTTACTATAAGAGCTTTGGTAAAAAATTATTTGACCTAGATTCTACTTATAATGAAAAAATAAGCTAAAAAAAGACCTTTCAAATAGTCACTTAATTAATCTCTTTTAGAATTCAATTTATTTATTTATATTTACTGTCCATTTTCAATATTACAAAATTTGTGTTCAGAGAATTTTTCACTCCTTCCCGAAAAATAAAATAATCAAAACCTGGATCTGACTGATTTTGATTATGATTTTTTTTTTTAAAAGAAACTGTTTCAAATATAAATTTTGAAAATTTCAAACAGTGAAATAATAAAACTTGCTTGAATATGATTGGATTTAAATTTATAAATAAATTATATTTATTTACAAGAACATGATTAATGAATTTTTATAATTACAAAATTATCACCGTAAAATAATATAAAATTAAAAAATTGAATTTATTTATAAAAGTGCCAATATTTTTTTAGAACATCTCTAATCTGTTCTTTTTTTAGTTTTAAAAACTTAAAAACAGTTATTTTAAAAAAAATCATTTTACAAAACAAGCATTTTCAAAAAAAAAAAATTTGTTTTTAGAAACATAAATCAAACCGGCAATCATTAATTTAGTCTTGTTTTGATTTACTTTTACTGTATCTCAGTAAAATAAAATAAAATAAAAATATGAATTAATAATTATATAATTCAAGCTAATTTAATTATTTACATCCACTCTGCCAGCCTTTTACAAGGAAGTTCCAGGTTATCGAGATATTCTAAGTTGTTTGTCTATGAAAGAGGAATTTCTGAACTCTCTAAGAACTTCAGAAGCAATGTTCGATGCAGCAAAATCAGGAAACAATGTGATTTTAGAATATATTTTAAAGTACAATCCAAATTTGATGATTAAAGTGGATTCCAGAGGACAAAGCTTACTTCACATTGCTATTTTATATCGACACATATCTGTATACCGACTAATAATGAGTAAGGGTGCATACAAGAATTTTATACTGCAGCTGGTTGATTGTGATGGAAACAATGTTCTTCATTTAGCTGGAAAATTGTCTGCTGAAGAAAGATTTGGATCATCAGTATGTCTAGTTCTAATTTGCAGTGAGGAGATGTGGTTTAAGGTGTGCATCTACCCTACACTACACTACATTATTAGCATCTTTGATATACAATGAAGGGGAAAAGAAGTATTCTTTCAAATGACATAAGCTTATATCTTTTAAGGTGATTTACACAAAGTATAGCCTGTTATACTTTGTGTAAATATGAAAAGTTTTTTTTTTTTCTCTCTAGTCACATCGCTGACGTGTAAAGTGAAAAAAAAGAGAGCAATTTTTCAGATTTGCACGAAGTATGACCGGTTATACTTTATGTAAGTCGCTAAAAAGACACGACTTGTGTCCTTTTAAATGACACACATTAAACCATGCAATTAATTATCTTACTCTTTCATTTTCTCAAAATGTCTTTTATTTTATTATTTTTAACTTATATATAGGAAGTGGAGAGGATAGTTCCACCTGCATTGAGAAGCGTGAAAAATAAGGATGGTTGGAGTGCAAAAGAAATATTTTATAGAGAACACAAAGAGTTAATTGAAAGAGCTATATCAGAACTGAAGGGAATTGCAAGTAATTACCTAGTTGTAGCAACTCTTATTGTCACGTTAGGTATAACTGGAGATCTCGCAATTCGTACTAATAATATTGAAGGACGGACTCCAATATTTTCGGACTCCAAATGGTACATTATATTTGCTCTATCAATTGCACTTGGATTAAGCTTATGCACAATATCTATGTTCCTCTTCACTTCAGTTATACTCCCTACAGTCTGGAAGCCAAAACGATGTTATGTGACCTCTCAGCTAATAAGAGTTGCTTGTGCGTATTTGATGCTGTATTTCTCTGTTGGAGTCATGCTCACCTTTTCTGAAGTATCTGGTGCGGTTTTGATCTACAGCTTCTTCCCCAAATGGGTCTTGTATGCTATTGCTGCACTTGATTGTAGTCCACTCATCTTGTCTCCTTTAATTTACAATTATACTGTGCATATTGCTCTGCAATTCACACTGTGCTATTGCGAGCAAGTTGCAATGAGAACACTGTCAAGAATGGGGATTAAGTGGAATCCTATTTATATTCTTTTGTAAATATGGTGAAGCATATATTGTCTATCATGTTTTGCGATTTCGCATTTATCTTTTCCTCAATTGATTTAAGTGGCTTCTTATAATGGATTCTTACTGAACACCTAGAGATAGGGTGAATATGTGTTCTGATTTTTTAAAACAAAAAATTTTTGAAAGTAGATCTTTAAATTTGATTAACCTAAAGAAAGTTGAACTAATAAGTTCAAGAGACACACTCGTGATAACTAAAACGACAATCCTCAACTTTGTTTTACTATATCCAATTTAGTTAATAATCATACAAATATAACAATGCTATTAATTTACTTCATATCCCTATTGCCTAAATGTTAGAATGATGCAATTATGAAATTTGCATTCCTGACCTTTTTATAGAGAGTATAAGCGCAACTTTACTTTCTTACTTAAATTGTTAAATAATTCATTTCCAATGGTTAGAAATTTATTGATCAAGTAGCTTGAAAATTACTTCAATAAAAACACCCTAATATAATAGCAATAGCTAAGAAATATTATGCTTTTGACACTATAAGATAGACAAGACTAATAAGCAGAAGTGCAGAACTGCTACAACACTGATCTAATAGAACAAATTAGAAAATAGTTAAAATGCTACAACACAAATGTATCAATAGAATACTGCTATAGCAATAAGTCTCAACCTAAAATAAACTTGATTTCATTAAGTTATATGCTTCAATTGAAGACTATCACAATAGCATAATTCTACAATTTAATACAAAAAAAAAAATTACTCAATATACAATGAGACGAACACAATTTATTAAACAGCCTTGCAAAGCAGAAAATAATGATACTTTCAATCTTTATTTAGAAAATCAAAAGGATAAATATGAGAGTAAGATACATGATGCTTTATCCTGGTTCGCTATCCCTTAGTGCAATGGGATAGCTACGTCCAGACTGAAACATGTGAAGTAATTTTATTAAACCAAAAATAGTGTTTTACAACCACTCAAACACACATAAGATTGAACTAAAATAGCTCTAGTACTTCAAGAAAATCCTAGATGTTTTTACAGCCTCAACTTCAATGAATTGAACCACAATCTAAGCCTAGGAGTCTCACCACTCCACCAAGTCAGAACCCTACACCCTTGTAGTTGGCTTGGGGCTCCAAGACTTGTGTTCACAACCACAAGTAAGCAAGGATTTCCAGTCTTCACCTTGGTTTGATGGTACAATTGTTTGGGGAGGAGTTTCCGTATCCATCGCGCTCACCAAATCCACCAATTCTTCCTCGTTATTATCATTCAATGTCATCAACCTTCCATCTTTGACAAAATGTAGATAATGAACATTATCCAATTTCGCAGACGGATTGAAGAGACGAACCTGGTTCAGCACATTCATATATGTTCCTTCCGCTTCTCTTTCAAATTAACCTTGGTACTTCTTCACGTCATCATTCAGGGTTATCTTTTCTTCCTCCAGGGCCTCCACATTCGCTTCAAGATCTGTGATTTGTCTGGCTAGCTTCGTTTTCTCTGTCTTTAAACTTTTATTCTTCTCCTTCAAATCTTTTATTTCTTGCTCCATCTTGGCTTGATCATCTTCGACTTTCTTCTTGGATTCTTCAAACTCAGCATGCAAGATTGCTTTTTCACCTTTCAAATCTACAATACGTTCTTTTTAATAAGATACCGTTCCTGCCACAAAAAGAATCAAGGTCATACATTAAGGCACAATTTTATACTTAGTACCGACATATTTCCCAAAGTGACACACTTGCTTACCTGGTACAGACAATAGATGCTGATTGGCGACAATTAGTTCCCCCAACAGCACCCAGCCACTTATCCATTGGTATTGCCTCAATCTGTGGGCCAACTCCCCTGCCCTTCGCAAACAGGTTCATATCAACACCCCAACCACTCCCGAAATACGTTAATTCTTGAAAAACTAAATTGGTTTCTGGGGACTTTCTCTTTTGTCCCCGGGGTGATTGCGTCACTTCTTTATGTTTGGTGATGAAACATTGGTCGTCATCATTGGCTCAGGCGACTTCAGGCGCGAGACATCTTGGCTGGTCTCTGCATCAGCAGGAAAGATTGTAGAAGGTTGTCTCTTAATTCTACAAGGACTAGCTTCCTCAGCAGCTCTCCTTGCAGCTACCGCTTCCAGTTTCTTCAGTTTGGCAGACATTGAACTATCTGAAACATAAGGATAAGATTGCACATTAGACATATGGTATATAAAAACACAAATACAAACGTCTACTATAGTCAAAATTGAAATGATGGAAAAATGCTTACCCAAGAAAACTCTAATATCATCATCAGTATATTCATTTAGAATGGTATAAGTACTAAAGTAACCTGAGTTAGATACTTCTCGCACAATGTTACATAAAGTGGTAACTGTGTGCTGCTCATAATCATTCAAATCATCAAAACTTATGTTCAACTTATGCTCCTCTGAAGGATGATGTGTCCAATACAGGAGGAAGATAGGAGTATTGTATTCTTCTCCTAAAAAAATGCTTGGGAACCTTTTATGGGGTAAATTTTGAAGTATTCTGTGGACCATTTATAAACCTTCCTTAAATAGGAGTCACAGAATTTGTGCTTGGAATTTCCCCTGAAAGAAATCCAGCTGGAACGCGGCCCAAATACACTAAACAGACACAAGAAGGACTCCGGAGATTGAAATAGGTTATATGCCTTACAGACCATCTCATATACCCTAATAAAACCCCATGCGTCCGGGGATACTTGTGCAGGAGTCACATTAACATGAGCCAGCAGTTTACAAATAAAAGATGAAAAAGGCAGACGCACTCCTATCGTCAAAAAGAAGTAAGCATCTTGTTAGTATAGGTAGTACCAATTAATTCTTGTAAGATATTCCTAATTGTATCGTCCCATACCAGTACAGTCTTTGGAATCCCTCTCTTTCGGGTGTTGATTCGATTCATTCATGCACCTTGGTCGCTGGAAGCCTTCTAAGAGCCGCTCCTTGTCCATGCCCTTTTGCATTGGCAATCACTCCCCGCCCTCGTCAATGCCCGGGATGTTACATGGCATTACCTGAAATAAAGTCCCCAAAGCGGGGTGAAATATACGAATATATCTCAGTAACCCAGAGGTTCTGGAGAATACTCCGCCCAATGGCTCACTTCGATGCATATCAATAAAATAATACAACATTTAAAACGGGATAAAGCAAGGGATTTAGTGAAGTAGGGAAACATAAGGAACAAAATACGATGAAGCTGAAATGGTCGATGCCAATACCACGCAACATCTGGCCTAGTGGCCTCAACACAGCCTACGAGTTCCAAACCAAGGAAGTGTTCCCAGAGCATCAACCAAGGCACCCTCCATTCATATACACCCGAGACTTCCTAGTGTGCTCCTCTACGGATGGCACACCACGACCCCAGGTCAATTGGAACTCCCTCATAGAGACTTATCCAGTGGAAGTCCGTAACGCAAGAAGGCAAACTGTCTACTGGCCAGAGACTCAGTACATCCTATGTACCACTAATGTACAATAATGCATGAATATGTTATACTACATTACCAAAATACAACTCCAACCACTACCCTCAACGGGCATGGTGGAGCACACACGGGGATCAAACCCCAATACCAAGGGATTACCTAAATAATCACCTCCGCTTGATAGCTCCCAATCACAGTATCACCAAGCTTGGTTCACCAGAAATGCCTACACATAGGCCATTTCCATTTCAATATCAACCAACCAAGATATATGCAAGTTCATCAATTATACATGCATAGGTTCAAGACAACTTACCACAATCCCTTTGGTCCGGGACCAAAGGCAACCCACCAAGCTCACAGTTCTGAGTTCAATTCCGCGAGAGACAACCTACAATGATCACACAAGGATCATCAATACGAGGTGCAATCAACCAAGATTACAAAGCACCAAAATTCCTCCCCCCTACAAGCAAGGTTCGGCCACCATAGGCTTAATTTACAAAATATTTTTTTTATTTTCTTTTAATTTTTCTTTAGCATCCCAAGACTACCACAACCCCATTTTAGATCCCACTTTCCCTCCTACACGATCACAATATCATTTTTCCAATTATTTCCTCCTAGGTCCAATAAACACTCTCACACACTCCAAGCATTTTTTTCTTTAACTTCCAATGCATCCACTCAACACACAACTCATCCAAATACCAATTAACACTACAACACATCAATCACATAATTTCACAACATCAAACCCCCTAATTTTCTCACTTGGCCAAAATGTTCATGGCCTCACACCAAGGGATATCCAATCCAATTTAGCAATTTAATACATCATACAATCCTACTATTAACTCATATAAACACTCAACAACTCAATTACACAATCACATAGCATCTCAATTCCACAAAGTCATGGCATTTCAACCCAAATTTTCCTAAGTTATAACTCAACTTTCACCAATAATTTTTATGACATCAATCACTCTAAAACATCATTCTAAGCCACTTTTATCTAATACACAATTTCAATTTGAGCTCTCTAACTACATCAATCAAACAACCCCTCTTAGGTCACCATAATCAAATCAAATTCAAAACCATAAATGGGTGAGAATGCTTGCCACCAATCAACTCCTAGGCCACCCAAGAGTAAGTTTCAACCTTTGAACGGTCCAAAACCGCCACCAACCACCACCAAAAATGGCAAAAGCTTCCACCAAAGGAGGGAGATTAACTCCACAACCATTCAATTACGTGGCTTACTCAAGGAAGGAAAGATGATCACAAGCTAATTTGGAGCAACTTTCATGTTCAACATTTTTGGATTTGAGTAGGTTTTGGATGTGTTTTGGTGGTTTGAAGTTTTTGAAGCAAAGCTTCTCACTTCTCCAATGGTGGCCGCAGGTGGAGAGGAAGGGAGGAGAGAGAGTGTGTGCTAAAACTTTGTGTCATTCCATGTGGCTAAGTCCACTTAAGTGAGGTGGGCCCCAACGTCACCTCACGTGATTTCAAACTAATTCGAATTTT